GCCATTGGTCCCCATTGGGGACTCCCCAAGCAGTCTGCCTGATTATGGGAAAGTCATAATACATTTGTATCATACGATACGCTTTAGCGTTAAACTGACTGGGACTTGTTCATGTCAAACATAGTACGTCTTTTGGTAAAACCGCCCAAAAAATATGTGACCATTTAAACGTATGCAAATTGTCTACAGCCAACATTATTTTTGTTTCTGCCTAAAAAAAACAAAAATCAAATTTTGTGCAAAAACGTTTGTTTACTTATTTAAAAATATTACTTTTTTATTTTTATTCCTTGAAAAAGGTATACTTTCTAAATGGCGCTGCAAGTAACCGTTGTTGAGATTTGCATTTAAATTGTGATTTATTAATGTAAATACAAAACCCATTAAGAGGAGCTAAAAATTTAGTTACTGTCCAACTTCGTCATTGTTTATCAATATTGTATGTTTATAACTATTTTGTACGTACAAATTATGCGTAATAAAGATACAAAAATTAATATTTTTATTAACACGTAAATTTACTAAGGCGCAAAAAAAATGTGAACATTTAAAAGTATGCACCGTGTCGTCGACGGCGCCCCCTAAAACCTACATTATATTTGCCTAGTAATTTAATTATCCCGTCCTGAAAAACCCCTAAATGTCAAATTTTGTGCAAAAAGGTTTGTTAACTTATTATTAACTTTTGTAAATTGAGCCGACGTTTTTTTAGGAAAAAACAAAAAAATTGGAATATTTTTAAAGTTTTAAAGTTCTGAATTTTCAGAAAAATTGTTTTTGCATTTATTCTACTACTGATGCAATAGATAATACAGACTTTTGTTAGTTTTTTTAAGCAATTTGCGGAAAAAATGTGTTCTTTCGGAAAATAAGCGGCCTTGGTATGTAAAAATATGTAACATAAAAAACTCCTTTTATTAAAAACTTATAATGTGTGTATTTTTAAATTTTCCAAATAAATTATTTTTTTCTCAAAAATGTCAATTTTTTCAAGGCCAGGGAAAACAAACAGGCTTTTTCTTCAATTTTTTCGAGTTTTTTTTTCGACGCTTTAAACCGCTAAATATATTTAATGTGTTTAATTTGTGGGCTCTGATGCAAGATACGAAGGGAGGGATCTTGCAAGCGATCTTTTGACATAGTTCTTCGTATGTAGTTTATAATAATCTTTAGTTTACTGAAAGATCTCTCTGCTGTAAACGCTGTCACCGGAAGAGTAAAAAATAACATTAATACTGTAATATCCTCTGACAATATGTCCACATAGTTATACTCTCGAATTAAAAGTCGAGAATTGTTTGACCGATAATACCGACATAGTGTTGTCAGTTTTTTTTCGATGTTCTTCTTGTCCATGTTTCTTGATGATCGAGACGATGTTTTTTTGCAGTTTTTACGGTGTTTACGAATTGTAGTGGGAATAATGGCAACACCACATAAAATATATTATTTGCAGGTATTCCCGGCGGGTTAGTATTTCATTTTCCTTCAGCTTTAAGAAATTTTTTTGGCTGTAAGATCTTAAAACTATTCGCATTTATTCGATTATTCATCTGATTTTTGACAATATCTATGACATGAAATGTTCTTGGCGTGTTTTAAAATGATAATCACTAGTGATTGTTAATTCATTAAAATAACGTTTTACTGATCGTTCCTTTTTTGCTTAAATTCTGGAGTTATTCCCCATTTTTCAGCAAGCTCCGTGGCTTCATCTTTCATTTCTTTGAAAGATGATCTTGCAGCGGTTATTTTAGAAGCACATGTAGGTACTTAATGAAGTTTTCGCTTCGTCTAAATCTATATGAATTCTGTGCAACTTTTTACAAGCACAGCACATACGACAGTTCAAGGGACAAGCTGCACTAGTAAATTGTTGGCTTTGTTGATTTATTTATAATTTGCTTTAATATTTTTGATTAGTTAAAAGAAAATAATTTTTGAATCAGCAAAACCAAAAGGGCCCCCTTGAGCATCGGGGGTCCTAATGCATCGCATCTACTTGCGGCCTTATAGTTATGCCACTAAATGCAATTGAATCGCTTATTGTAGAATGTAGGTAATATTTTTATGGATTTTGTCTGTCAATGCCTAATGGGAATGTCTTTAAATACTGCTATAAATGATATAGATTTCATATATTTTTGATCTGGGTATTCACTTATACACGGAGAACCAAGGTTTGGGAAATAAGTTAGTCAACTTTGTTCCAACTAAGTTTTTTGTATTATATTTTATAATATATTGGCGTTTATTTGGACACATGAGTTGTTATTATAGTGACGTTTGACCAAAAATTTACAAATTTTATAGCAAACATTTTCCAAGGCATTAGCATTAGCATTAGCATGGAAATAAATACTTAAATATATATTTTGTCTAACTTCGTTTGTAATTAAGACTGCTAGTCTTCATTACAAACGAAGTTAGACAGTCTTAGACTGGTATAAAATTGAAAAAATGTTTGTAATGCAGATTGGTAGAAACTTGACAACTATTTGTTCAGTTATGTGCATTAGCGAGTATGTAAATAAACAGCTGATGACAGCAATCTCTGGGTTAAATAAAATTCTGAACTTTATGTGTAGGTATAACAATTGGGATTTGTTATATTTGTAAAAAGGCGTAAAAAAGTGCTAGTGTACAAGTTTAAAAAAAAATTATCCGTGCAGTTTATAAACGTTTCTTAAATATTAAACAACTTTAAATTTTAAGTACTAAATGGCATTTATAAACGTTTCTTAAATATTAAACAACTTTAAATTTTAAGTACTAAATGGCATTTAGTAAATGCAACAGTTAACTGTTGGAAATTTCCAATAATTAAATTAAATACAACAGTTAATTATTAGATGTCAATACCTATCAACGAGAAAATTCTCTTTAAAGGTACAAAGCCTTTTTTTCTAGTTATAATCTTCCCCATATATTTAATATTTGTAAACACTCGAGATTTCTTCAGATATTTGCCAATAAACGTTAAAAATATATCATCATTCCCAAACATTGCCTAACCTACCTAGCCTAACCAAACTGTTTTGCATTTAATTGGGCACGATTTGATAGTTTATAGTTGGTCATCGCGATTGCACAAGAAACGTAGGAATATAAAGTCATATTTTGGACATTTATTTGCAAAACTTTTCTAAAGGCGAAAGTTTTGACCTGATATGGCTGTCTGGGTAATTATTTAAGTTTTTCTCACTACTTATGAGTCTACTGACTTATACCCTTTCTGCAATCAGAGATTTAATAATTAATTTAATTTAATAATTATTATAGTCAGTGCCGGTTTAAGTTAGTTCGCCGCCCGGTTCTGGCAAAAACACAACGCCCAATGCTTTAAAATATTACTTTTTTAAAAACATTTTTAAGTTTTTAAGTTTTACTTTCTCACGTCAAGTGGAAGATTAGGTTGGTTAGGCTGGTATCTAACAGTAAACTTAGTATCCTATAAAATAAAAAATGAGCCTTTATAAACAAATTATAAAAACTAATCAAAAGCACTAACTAAAAAATAAAACATTCTTTGGTTTATATAAACAATACTAAGTACTACTAAGAAAAACTAATCAAAAGTTATAAATAAATAAAACATTATTCTTTGGTTTAAATAAATATTGAGAAATCCTAATACTAATAATTAAAAGGTTGTTTTCAAGTCTTTATACTAGCAAATTGTTTTATAACACTTTACATTTATTTCATCTAGCAGGTCTTGATAAATGGATAGAATTGCTAAGGAGTTAAATCTTTCTTGGAGAATTGTATTTCTTAGGTAGTTATTTACCCTTTTTAGAGCAGAAAAAGATCGTTCACCACTTGCATTTGAAACTATTATAAAAAAAATTCGCAGACAATTATTAATATTCGGAAATGAAGATATTAATTTATTTTCGTATAAAACTTCCAATAGAGTTTCTATTTTTATTTCCGAAAGGGAAGTTACCAGTTTCTTGAGTTGGACACATTTTTGAGGAAAAAACTCATCCAAATCCTCCACGAAGATTTATTCTTTTAGATTAAACAAAAATTCAAATTTGTTTGTGCCAGATTTCTAGCTATCATATCGACAAATGATTTCGGATTATAGATTGTCAATTATTAAAATAAAACCTATTGTTCGCATTGTTTCTTTTTTGCTTAAACTTGCCTCTGAATTATTTTCTTCAAATTGTAATTTTCTTATGATTATCCGCTTCTGAGCATAATTTTCGTTTCCTGTTAATTTCCTCGTAATGATCAAAATGATATCACGTAAAAAATCAAAGTTCTCAACTAAAAATGACAAAAGATGAGCATTTGTGCTTAAATCCATATTTTGTTTTTGGACTGCTTTATTGGTTTCATTAACCCTTTGCAAAACGTCTATCCAAAAAGTTCAAATTATTCCGTTTCCAATAAATCAAGTTTTTCTGATGGAGAAGCTGCTTTAACTCTAACAACATTTTTCTCATTTGTATCCGTTTTATCCGCCGACGCAGTGTCGCAATAATTTTTTTTCTAAATTCTAACGATTAAGTATTTTTTTTTAATTATGGGTGGTACGCGGTACCGCCCCAAAAATATTTACCGCCCGGTGCTATAGTCCCCAAAAAACCCCTGTTAAACCGGCACTGATTATAGTAAGTATACTTATGGAAATGTTAAAAAATAGATATATACAGACTCTGAATTACAGAGATACCTAATTATTATTTTTTATAACTGAAAATCTATGTAAATTAAAATTATCAACAAAAACAATAAATACTGCATATTCCAGTTTATAACAAACATAAAATTTACTTTAAATAATTTTTATGTTAAAAATATGCCCAATTATTTTAATTAAATATTTCAAAAACATTTTCTGGATATAATAAAAAGAGTGTCAATTAAATACTAAAAATTTAAACATCAAAAGTTTTGGTTAAGACACCATTTATACAACCACACAACCCTTATAAGCATTTTTGTTATTTTTGAACATAAAATATTTACCATTTCTTATATTTTAGGCAATGCCGATGGTTATGGTTACCATCCCACCCAGCATGCATCAAAAAATGTATCCCTAAGATGTTACGATTGCAATTCGGAATTTGACCCCCGTTGTGGTGACCCATTTGACCCCTACACCATAGGAATTGTAAATTGTACAGACAGAAGACCCCCAGAGCAACTTATTGAGTCCGACCCTGATATCCAACCCAAAGTTTGTAGAAAATTAGTACAAAAAAGTAAGAAAAATTGCTGTATAATTTATATCAATTGGTTTATTAATAGATTTATCAATAAAGGCGACACAATTTATACCCTCGTAAATAATTAAAATATAAAACAAGTTAATAAATATGATTGTTAATTATTATTAATATTAAATCAAAATATATTTGTGTCGACAATAATATGAAATAATAACACCATGATAGTTCGAATTACTAACATTGAGTACGCCCACCTATATTACCTAATTTTGGGCTGCTGATTTCAAAAATGCCACTCGTTTTGCGTAATAAAATGCTCTTTCCAATTATCTCAAAATGTAAGTTTTTCGTTAATATTTTGATTATTTATTAAATTATTTTGTCTTAAATCTATTTTGGATGTTCAGTATATTTTTGACGTTAAATATACAGGGACTCCATACAAAGTCTTCGGAAGATAAATGTCAAATAGAAATTTTTTTGGTAACATTGTAGCCGAATACTATAGTAGTATTATATAAGGGCAGGGCCGATTTAACCATTAGGCAAGAAAGGCAGCTGCCTAGGGCGGTAGGCTGATGAAGGGCGGCAAAATTTTTAAAGAAAATATTATCCGAAAATGTAAAAAATTAATCTTAAATAAGCATTTTGTAATTACTACTCTGATTGGGCTGATTTGTTTACCAAACGACTGCCTTTTGGGCGAACGCAGCCAACAATACAGTTAAAACATGATACATCCAACAAAAGATACAATCTCTAGCAGTCGTGGTCAATACAACTGCGATATTTAAATAGCTATCGGTGTCAGCCTTACTTACTTAAAATTGTATGTAATGATAATAATAATAATAATGCAATAATAATAAGATAAAATGAAAATCGAAACATTTCACGTTATCATCGATGTACTCCTGGGAGATATAAAAAGACGCTTATTTGCTTACCAACGTATTTATGAGCGATTTTATGTACTAACAAATTTGTGTAACTAAAATGAATCAATAGTTAATGAAGGAGAAAAGTTAATAAACATTTACGAAAATGATTTAGATACTTCGTTTATTCAAGAATGCTCTCATTTAAAAGCGCTTTTATAAAAAAACATTAAATCTCCTTTGGAAATATTTAAGAAAAAATGGATTAAAAGAAACATTCCCCAATTTCGACATAGCATGTCGAATTTACTTGCTTCATCTGAAAGATCATTTTCAAAACTGTCAAGGATTAAAAACAATTTTAGATCGACAATGAAGCAAGAACGTCTATATGCCCTCTCCATTTGTCTTTGGAATGCTATGTCACAAAAAATATAAGTTATGATGAAATTATTAACAATTTTTCCCAAGAAAAGTCAAGAAAAAAACCCTTTTAAATATTTTATTTTTTATTTAGAATTATTATTTGTCTTTGTAATTGTATATATTTTTTACCACGTATCAGTGTTAAAAAGTTGTTTTTAGAGTAGAAGATCTTTTAAAATAAAAATATGTATAAAAGTATGTAGGATACCAATTTGCCTTAACGCGGCCCTGTATAAGGGATATTTAATAAAGCACATTTCTGCAGAGAAGTGCTTTATTAAATACCAAAACTAAAATTATGTTTTTTTGGTAAAAAGTTAAATTTTTTTGTCGTTTTTTTAATTACTAATTAAATTGAAAAGGCAACAAAGTAAATGGGTTTATTTGTTTAATTTTTAAATAATGTATACTTCCTTGCTTGTTTATATTCTTTATTTGCGACTAGTTTCGGTTATACACCATCTTCAGGCAAAAATGTCAAGTTTTAAAGTATGAGTATAATAGAATAATATATTACGAACATAGAAGTTTTAAACAATTTTTACACTTTATAACTAAATGTTTTTTGTGGTAGGTGTGACATGATAAACCTGAAGAGATACAGCATATAATTAAAAAAAAAAACAACCAACATCTCACACCTACCACAAAAAACATTTATTTATAAAGTGTAAAAATTGTTTAAAACTTCTATGTTCGTAATATATTATTCTATTTTAAGTCATAGTTTAAAACTTGACATTTTTGCCTGAAGATAACCGAAACTAGTCGCAAATAAAGAATATAAACAAGCAAGGAAGTATACATTATTTAAAAATTAAACATTCCATAAACCATGCTAAAAATGGATTACCAAAACCTAATAAACGGGTTTAGGTATAAACATTACTCTTCGATTAATATTTGATATTTTTTTATTCACATCATGCCTATAGGTACCTAAAGTACCTAAAGTACCCAAATATTTAATCTCCAATCTTATTTATTATAAAATTTAATATCGAATTAAAGTATAAAGGCGCATTTATCTAAAGTATACTTTATCGTTCAAGCACATTAAAGTGCAACTATTTATTTTTGAGATTTAAATTTAAACTTTAAATTGTATTTTTACTTGAAAGTGATTTTAAGAATCAAAAATGAAAAAAGAGCAGGAAATGGAAGTGTTAATGCAAGTGGTAGAGTGGTTGTTTATGTTGGAGTCTCTTTTCGCAAAAAAAAAACAACGCAATATTTTATTGCAAAATTTTATGAGATATACCTACTACTTTAATTTTGCAGGAATATTTGCAGGAATATTAAATGAACCTGATATACCTGTTTAATAAAAGATCAAGCATTCAAAAATGCTCTCAAAGTTGACGAGCTTGTCACGCAGTGTTAAAGCTGTCTTTGAAAATTTTCTTGGTTCATATCGGGCCTAAAATTGGCGCCAATTCATTGAAAAAATGCTCTCCGCTTTTTAAAGAATTAACATTGATATGTCTTTTAAAATACATTTTTTTTATTTTCATCCTGATAAATTTGCCGAACTAATGAACATGAAATACGATTTCAAGCAGTAACTGCAAATCTAGAGCATTGGTAGATATCTATGGGTATAGCGGAAAGAAGTTGGATTCATTGCTAGGAGACATGGAATTTGCAGCAAAAGATGTACGACGATGATGAGGATAAAGCACAATAATACTATAATTCAATTCGATATTTAATACGATTTAATAAATTTAAGGTAGAAAATTATGCAATGCATTAAATTTTGTTGGCTTAATTTGGATAAAAAATACCGAAACTTGTCAATAATTAAAATAAACGACAAAAAATGTTGTTTTTTTACATAAAATACATTAAAATTTTATTTTTAATATTGAAAATGTCATATTGTTAAGTTAAATATGATCTATTTGACGTATACCAATTACTTCAGTACATTCAAGATAAATTTAAGCCAAAATAATTTAATAAATAATTAAAATACTAACAAAACTTACTTAAAAACTTACATTTTGAGGTGATTAAGCAGAGCATTTTATTACGAAATTATTTTAAAGAAAAACGAATGACATTTTTGAAATCAGCGGCCCAAAATTAGTTAAACTAAGGTGGAGTACTCAATGTTAGGAAAAAAAGTTTCTAAAACTATCATAGTGTAATATATATATGTAATATATATGTATATTATTATACAGTGCGGACGTTAAAAGTCCCCCCCCCCTGTCATCTTTTGAACGAAAAAAGGTATAGACATCGGACAAAAACCATTGTCAAGGACCGCCTTATAACTACAATGGTACGTTTTTTTTTACAAAACAAAAACAAAAAAGTGTCAAAAAAAAAAAAATGTTGATACAGATTTACGATAATTCGCACCGCCATGGCGCGCCAGGGCCGGATTTACCGAACAGGCAACGTATGTAGCTGCCTAGGGCAGCAAGAAATACCTTTCAAATGAGGTATCACAAGCCCCGCTTTCCCTTTGAAATTTTTAAGTTGATACTGCCCTCTTGGCGCTCCTTAAATGGGCACCTATCAATTTGACGTCAAAAAGTAGTATTCTTAATGTCCTTGACAATGGTTTTTATCCGATGTCGATAATTTTTTCCTTTCAAAAGATAACAGGGGGGGGACTTTTAACGTCCGCACTGTATGGACATACTGTTGGGCGTTCAGAAATTATAAATTGTGTCAGAAGTGGAAGTGGACGTGTTTTCCTTGTCTCAATAAATAATAGTAGCAGTTTAATTAAAAATGTATCTTTGTATCTTAACACACCTAGTTACGTAGAATTTGTAACTAGTAACAGTTATAGTTATTAGATTGGGATAAGTAACTAGTTACACAAACAGATACATAAAAAGTATCTAGATACTGTATTTAGTTACTTTTAACTAGATACGTTACAACACTGAGCAAATTACAGAAAATGCGACTCAAATGGAGTTAACTGCAGTGGCGGCTGGTGGATTTTGGGTATACCAATATTTCAGTTATGAGACATGGGTCCCACACCAAATTTAATAGTTTAAAATGACATTATATAGACAAGTTTGGCGCAAACAGAATTTAAACTGAAGTGCGAAAAAAAAATAGTTTTCAGTGTAGCCTCACCCGCCTCCTGGCTCCCCTATTTGAGATAATTCAAATTAAAGTGTTGCATTGTTATCTACTATAATTTATCGACAAAATTTAAAATTTTATTTAAAAAATTGAAATATTACAGGTTTTATACTATTTTAAATATTTTTTTATTTTAATAAAATAAATAATAAAAATTTAAAATCGTACAAAATCTGTAATATTAAATTTTGTATTTTTTAAATAAAATTTTAAATTTGTCGATAGGAAATATACAACTTTGCTAAGTTTTTTAGACTAAAGTGCTTATAAGCTACAGTAGTCATAAGAAACTATAGTAACTCAAAAACTACTTGTCAGAAAAAAATGTAATAATGTAATGTAATTTTGTAATACTCAAAATATCCTCCCCTGGCGCCATTTTTGGGGCATCCTGTAAAAATAAAATGGATGGTTAGTTTCTATAAAATATTATTAAACAAGATTTTTTAAATATTTAATGTATACCTACATAGTTCTAAAATTAGTTATAATAATAATAATAAACGACTTTATTTGATATAAGCATCCACTAACATCAAAAAGGCGAAGTTCAATAAAAGATTGTTCTTCCACTTAACCATAAACTACAATAGTAAGACTGTATTATACTGTGAGTTTGAAATATATAATCTAAAGTTAGGTACCCTAACTTTTATTAACCATAATGTTTCATGCACTGTAGGTATACATCCGAAAAAATTTTGTTTATAAATAGATTTATCAATAAACGAGCTGAATAAAAAATGATATTTACGCAAAATGTCACTAAACCATAACAACTTAAATGAAATTTTTAAAAGGTTAACATTACTTTCTATTTTAGTCCAAGGAAAACTTCGTATTGTTCGTGGATGTGGCTATCTGAGGGACGAAAGGGACGACAAGGAGTGTGTCGCAAGAAGTGGCACCAAGGATATTCAAATCAAGTACTGCGCATGTACAGGTTCCTTGTGCAACAAAGGTCACAAGGAGCAGTCCTTTGGAATAATGACTTTAGTATTTTCGATTAGCGTGACTTTAATGTGTCTAAAATTAACGACATAGGTAGACTAGTTTTTGAAATTTTTCAGTGAGATTCGACATTTTGTACTAGTTGCTTCAAGTTGTACGTTTTTTATTCGTTAACCAAAGATTTTGTTTGGTCAAGGCACATTAGGATGCATATATGCATAAATGCATCCTAATGTGCTTTCCTATATATACGAAAATTATTATTACTTTCAATAATTATCATTTAATAATTTGTAAAAATTAGGATAAACAATTGTGTTTAATGCATTGACCTTTTTAATAACATATTTATTTATAATTTATTAAGATAATACTACAAATATTTAACTGTTAACAAAGTTATCATGTAAAGTTTATTGTGTACATTTTTTATTTGGCGTCTTGTTTAGCTCGTTTGAGGTCAACAAAATAAAATCAAAATGTTCTGGCTTCGTTTTGCAGATTTACTAGTAAACCTGTGTCTTTGCAAGAGGTAATATACGTCCATTTTAGTACAAAACATAAATTTATTAAAAGTTAGATAGATATTGGTCATTTGTATAGGACAATTCGTCTTTTGAAGGTTTATATATCCTTAAACAACACAAATTTGTATTTAATTTAAAACTAATGAAATTAACAACAATTTGTGTCGTTTAAGGTTATTTAAATATATTTTCAAAATAAAAGACCTATTTTCCAATAATAAATTGCACGGTATATTGATACTAAATTGTAGCCTAACAAATGAATATTAAAAAATTATGAAAAATATAAATACCGGAGTATTAAAAAAAATTATATATATATTATAAAGGAATATATAAAATATTACTAAAAATTTGACTGAGAACCTCTTGATATAGCAGGTTTGCTGAGGTAAATTTAATTATAATACTTTAAGTATGTTAAAGTTAGGGTATTTATATAACAGCTTTAAGGTGGGAGGCTTCTTTAGCATAAAACAAGGCTACTAACCTTTACATGTTAACTAGGTACTATAAAAAAATGTCTTAACAATATAGAGGGTTTTGCATAATTGATTTTAGGTTTTAAAATTACTTTAGCAAAGATTAATTTATATAGCATGGAATTGTAACGCCTTTCTGTTACGGTATCGTTCTTCATGTAAGGATCAAAACATAAAAAATGATAACGACACTTTGAGAAACGATAGATATTAGTAACAAAACAAGTAACAAAATTTTGATAACCGTTTTAGTGGAAACAAAATTGCTATCGAAACTGTTAATAACGAAAATTGCAGATGCGCAACTACAGGATATTGAAACGAAACTAGTAACAGTAACTTAGTAACGAAACTGAAACAAAACGTTGAATTTTCAAAAGCTTTCACAAAATGCTTAACAACACAATGTCTTGGAAAAAATCTTTGTGATCTATATATCAGCTGCCAAGCTGTCAAGCTGTCAAGTATATTGGCATTAGAAAAAATTGAACCTACACCTCGCTAAAGTTTTTTGTTTTGAGTGCGCTCCCAGGGCCATATTACCCATTAGGCAGGCAAGGCAATTGCCTTAGGCGCCACAAAAAAATAGGCGCATTGTCCCCAACCAACTTAAAAAAATTGTTACCAAATGGTTTATTTTTCCAAAAAATAAAGCAAATAAACTATATACAATTATGAGAACGGTAGAGCACCGAATATTCTTTACTGTTTTTATTATTTTATAAAACATCGGCTTCCTTTGTAATAACGCGGTGTAATGCCTTACATAAAACTACAGGAAATTAAAGCTGTTTAACATTTTTTAAATACTTACTACCCAAGTAGCACCACTGGTTAAATTAACGTTATTTTGTAATAAGTGGGGAATTTAATTATGGTAAAATTAACGTTATGATAGTTAAACTTAACTTCTTGGTTAACTTTGGTTAAAAAGGAGTTAATATTTGATAGTTTTTGGTTTATTTTACCCTTTTTTAACTTCTTTTTTACTCTTAAGTCAATTTAAGTTTATTTAAACTACTTATATTATATATATATATATATATATATAATTATAATTTACCAAATATGGTTATTTACTCTCTTGAAATGAAATAGTAAAAATTCTACTATTTGAATTAGTATCAGCATTGTTTACTAATTAAATAGTCGTTTTTACTTTTAAATATTTATTTTTTACTGTAGTATACTTAATTAGTTAAAGTTTGACTAATTTAAGATAAGTCGCCATATTTTACTGTTACTGAGAGTAATAAGTAAATTTCTTTAATCGTTTTGAATTCTTGCGGCGTTAAATGCATACAGGCTCCATGGTCCATAAAAATAAAGATGCAAAAAGTTTAGCTCCAACACAAAAATATATTCAACTTTAACAATTTTATTAAAAATATTTATTGACAGATATCATAAATTTAATAAGTAGCAGAGGTGCGTCTACTAATTTGACTGTTTCATTCCGTAGAATTTGACTAATTATAATTAGTGACTGTTAATAATTATTAGTGACTGCTTTGTCGCTATGACAATAATTCAAATATGACTTATAATTAGTCATTTTTGACTTATTCATTTTAAGACTAAATCAAAATATGTCTAAAACAATAACTCGTCTTAAACATTTTTAAATTATGTTTTATATGTAATTTTTTAATAAAAAATATTTTAATTTTTAGTAAGTATAGTATCTAGTAATAGGCGCCAACTTTTTAAGTGCCTAAGGCACTGGATTGCCTTAAGCCGGCCCTGTGCGCTCCACCAACTTCAAATACCGACAGACAGCTGTTTCGACCTATAAACTTTGGCGATTTTTTCTTATGAATATTACCAGTCATGGGTCAAGAAAGTTTCTTAAAGAAACTAAGAAAATTGAATGTTTATATTGACATTGTAAAGAAAATTCATATTGGTTAAAAGCTTAAATTAATACATTATATTTACAGAATTATTGGGCTAATTTTAAATACGCTGTTTCGTTACGATTTCGTTACTCAAGTGGCGCTGCTGGTTTCGTTTCCATACCCAGTTTTTCGGTTTTGCTCAGATTCCTCCCCAAAATTTTGTTACTCTTCTGTTACTTGTTGGAAACGATATTCAACGTTCCGTTTCTAATTATGTTTTATTCTTTGTAAGTTACTTGTAACAATAACTGCAAAAAAATACTTCGTTTTTATACGAGGTTATATTTTCATATAAATTAAACAATAATGTGTTAATTAACAAGCAACCTATACGAATGTAAGCAGTTTTTGCCATAGCAAACGTTCTTATAAGTTTACCACCAACGATGTTTTTCAAAGGCTGTATAAACCTTACATGTAATGTAAATACATTTCTATAAGAACTCCGGTAGGTGTATAGAAAGTTTTGCTTAAAGCAATTAAAATCCTAAAACAATTAAAGACTTCGGGAAAAAAGATGATCTGTGAAAAATGTGTTGGAAAATTTGTTGGATAGAAAAATGTTTTACCATGTCTCAACAATCAGTTGTTTCATTTTTTTAATAGTTGTTTTTAGTTACTAAACAAAAGTTTTTAGGAAGAACTGTTAAAAAAATTCAAGATTAAAAAATAACACCCTCTATATTTGATATTTTAATTAAAATAAATAAATTAGGGGGAAATTTGTATAAAATCTTTCTCCATAAACGTTTTTTGGTAATTCTCAAAACATATTTTATAAGGGTATTTTTGTACCCTTAATAAGTATAAATAAAAACTGCCTTTTTAAAGTTAGTTTTTATACTTATTTTTCCCACTCTTCAAATTGTACCTAATAACTGCTTAAGTCCCCCCTTATAAAATTCATAAAAACTCCTTATACAGGGTGACATTTTCTCTGTTAGGTTTAGGTCCTGTAAAAAGTTTATATTTAAAAATATGCAGGGTGTCCAAAATTCTAATGTTTAGTTCAAATTTGGAATACCTATATGAATTTTTTACATTAAGAACTTAAAATCTCAAAATTAAGTGAATTAGTTCACTTTTATAATCTCACTTTTTCTTGTATAGATCGTCTATTATAACTTAATTTATAAGGCAGTAGAATTTATGGACCTCTGTAAAAACTAAAAATTGATTAAAAATGGTGGGTGTTTTTTTTGGCTTTCTAAAGTCATTACGATATTATCAAATTAATAGACTGCCATTTTGCGACTCGATGGTATGTTTTTCCATTTTATTGTATGATAAATAAACATTTTTTATAAGCAATTTACAAAGAAAGGCTGAATCTTTTCATTTTAATATTCATAATTGTTTTTTCATACAATCATTTACCATTATTAATTTTGTTTAAGACTTAAATTGGATCAATGGCAATAAGTTTGCTCGGTAATTATAATCTATACATATCTGTATATCAATTTTACGAAAATAATTAGGTGAAATTGTATAATAAAATGGAGACCATAAATTTCTTTAAAATAATTGTCATTGAATGAATCGTGTATCTACTATTAATAGAATTAAAATTATAATACACTAAAAATAAGTTAACTGTAAATGGCATAATATAATTACTTTTTTATTCTTATTTTCAAATTAAAAATACAAAAAATCAAAATCTTAACTTTTAAAATAGAACAATTTTTAGCTATAAATTATTTGGATTTTATCTTAGATATGGAATTTTTACTTTAAGTAAATAAGCTAATATGATTAATAAATATTAAAATAATTGCATTAAATATTAAAACACTGCCCATACAGGCTCTAATTGCCATAGAATGTTGCTTATTGCATAAAAAATAAACATCTATTTGTGTATTTGTAGTTTAGGAATAACTCGGTTAAAAAAAATTCGTAATTTAATACACCAGTTTCTAGATATTTATAGAATGTTACTACTAAAATTAAAAAAAAATCAGTGTAAACATATTTTACCCATCTGTAAAACTGATACACTTTTAAGAAACTGGCTAAGAGAAATTCTAATTATGAAATTAATGTTTAGCAATTTGCTTACTTTAACCAAAAATGATTATTTTAATAATTTGTTTAATACATATAAATGTACCTTATTTACATACATAAAAGTATATATTTTTTTTATTTAAAATTATTTCCAATTATTTCTTTAAAGATAAACTCATAACTAAATAAGAATAATGTATATTTGTGAATAAAACTAAATCAGATTCTATAAATGTATTTTGCTTGATAAAATATATTT